AGAATTATGTGGAAAGCCATTAACAGCTCTAGCCAGCATGACAAAAACAAACCCTGTTATTATGAGGACAGGTTGAGTATTCAGTATTTAGCCTATTAAATGAAAACTGTTGCCATCTGACCATGAATGTTGGAGGGATTGAGGCCACGGGTGGATTCTGTAATGAGTCCTGGTGAGATGCCTGGCAGCACCCGTGTTCTGAAATTGGGTTTTAAATGAGATTGTTTCTCTTGAGACTGGCTTTCATGTGCAATGGAATTTATAATGTTAATTTGTTTATGTGATCACTACTAAATGGAAGAGCCTAAGTAGGGATTCTGAAGGTGAGTTAATTAGTGCAATAGGAAAGGGTATTTGCCAGTGTGGAACGGGAGTTGGGACACTGGCAAGTGCAGGGATCTGTTTATCCTACTGGTCAAAGTCTGTTAGTGGATAAAGGGGGTGAGTGAGTGAGGAGTTCTGTGCTCTGGCTGCTCCTGATGGGTATTTACAGTGTGCAGGAAGGTGACCTAGGCTGGATCTGTTAGAGATACTCAGAGAGTCTCTGCTAAACTCACAGAATCACAGGATGGTTTGTGTTGGGAGGGACCTTAAAGCTCACCTCATTCCACCCCCTGCCACGGGCAAGGGCATCTCCCACTATCCCAGGCTGCTCCATGCCCTGTGCAGCCTGGCCTGGAACACTTCCAGGGATCCAGGGCAGCCACAGCTTCTCTGTGCCAGGGCCTCACCAACCTCATAGGGAAGAATTTCTTACCAATATCCCATCTAACCCTGCCCTCTATCAATTTGAAGCTGCTCCTCCTTGTCCTGTCACTCCATGCCTGTATAAAAAGTCCCTCCCCCTCCTTTTTATGAGCCCCTTAAATTGTAGATATAGACTCAGTTTTTCCTCTCCTGAAAACCCAGTAAGTCGAGTCTATTAAACTCAGCGGGATTTTTATTACCAAGTTCAATAGTATTCGATTTCTCCTTGATATCCATAACTGAAATGACAATTTTTAATGTTGAAGGATGTGGTTAACCTGTGCATAATTCAGAGAAATTGCTGCACAATCTTTCCTCACAGTTCTCTGCCAAAATCTTCCTCATGAACAGCCTTTAACACACTGAATTATGACTGATTATACGGCTGTTTTCCAATAAGGACGAGTACTTGAGAGGGATTTAGGATGAAGTGAACAGACACTGACATTTTCCCTGGGGATTCCAATCAGGATTAAACTCAGTGTGTCCAGACTAACAGGAAAGTGCATTAAGAGCTGTGGGCCATCTCCAGAGCTCCTCTGTGGCTTCCTGGCATTGTTTTCAGAGTTTAATGAGAGAAGATACTCAGTCATTGTTTGATTTGAGATACCAAATGGATGTGAAATTGATTAGACCCTTTTCTACAGAATTAGATTAGACAAATTGATTAGACCCTTTACTACAGAATTTACTTGTCATTTCCTTTTGTGCTATCTTTTAAAAAAAATAAAAATCTATGATACAAGAAATCCTTCAGTGCAGAAATCTTTGTTGTGCAAGATTACAGCTGCCTTCCGCTTTTCCTGACAGGATAATTGCAGATGAATGGTATGCCAGCACCCGAGGGAATAAAACACTGCATTCCTCGAGGCAGAATCAGGATTAATTGCAAATGCAAGTATGTAGCTGACACACCTTTTTACTTCTGAGACTGCACATCCCTGTTGCACAACATTTTCATGTACAAAAAGTCATCAAATACTGAAGTATCTACCTTGAATGGATCAAACTGCAATGGAAAACCTGCATTCCCCAGCCCCAAGGTATAACAGGATCTCTGCACACATCCTGTTTCTCTACCTCCCACAGCTCTTGTGAAGCAAACTGGCTTTGGATGGCTTTGGAAAAGCCTGCACCAGGGAGTTTTCCAGCACAGCCCTGTCCAATGTCTGTGGGAATAAGTGTGCCTGTGCAGCTCAAGGGTTCTCCAAATAAGAAGTGAACAATTTGCAAATAAATAAGGCTAAAGAAGCATCAAGTGATAGGAAGAAAGCTGTTTTTGCGAAGGGATTGCAGAAATGGTTGTTTCTGGCTCCTCAGGAGCGAGGGATGAGGAATGGCTGGAAGGTGGCTGTGATGCACTGCCAGGGCCTCTCTTCCTAACCCATCCTGGAAGGAAACCACAACAGGCTCAGCCCTTCCTGATGTTCTCACTGCCTGGTGGTCTTGTCTATCCTTCTTGCAAGGCGATGGCAAAGCTCCTGGGACAGAGTTGGGAATGGCTCAGAGCAGCTGCCTGGGCTGCAGTACCCACCCCACTCTCCTGGCTTTCTTATTGATCTCTGAGTCACAGAATCATAGACTGGTTTGGGTTGGAAGAGTCTTCAAACCCCATCTCGTTCCAACCCCCTGCCATGGGCAGGGACACCTTCCACTACAACAGGTTTTTCAGGACTCATCTTCACTAAAATTTATTTTAAAATGTTTCCTGGGTTTTACATCAAAGTTTCATAGGTCATAGTGACACCGCAGCACTTTTATTTGGAGTAGTTTGTGGATGAGATGAGTGATTTTATACTGAAACATCAGCTTTATCTTTGCAACAGCTGATTTCCTAAAGACAGCTCATTTGCTACAGTTTTTCCTGTATTTTGATGAAGGAAATAAAGTTTCTGCTCATCTCTCTCTCGTGACACTCCATTAATTGTGTATAAAGCTTTCCAGCAGATAACACTGGAAAATATTATTTTGTTTGGCAGCTGTTGGTTTTATGGAAATCATCCCTCACTCTGCTCCAGAGGAAATGATTGCAGCAATGTCACCCCAGCTTTCCTTTACTGCAAGGTGTCACTGCTTACACTGAAACAACTTTTACATAACCTTTTGAAAGGAGAGTGGGGTGATCTCCTCAAACTGTTTTCTCATCTTGCTGTTTCCTTTGGGCAGGCTCCAATTTGTATTGATTTGGGATTGTATGACCAGCCTTCCCTTCCCCAGGGCCCACACAGCACAGCCTTCTTCAGCATTTCTTCCTAAATTTGCCATCTCCCTTTTCTCCAGATGTAGCTTGTGCTGAGCAGGGAATTTTACCTAGGGATAGGACACGGGGGAATGGATGTAAACTAAAAGAAGGAAGATTTAGATGAGGAATGAGGAAGAGATTCTTCCCTTTGAGGGTGGTGAGGCCCTGGCATGGGTTGCACAGAAAAGCTGTGGCTGCCCCGTCCCTGGAAGTGTTCAAGGCCAGGTTGGACTGGTCTAGTGGAAGGTGTACCTGCCCATGGCACTGGGTTGAAAATCAGTGGTTTTTAAGTTCCCTTTCAACACAAATTTCTGTAAAAGCTTGGACAGGTTTACTCTAGGCTGGGCTAAGAACTGGCTGGGCCCAAACAATAGTAGGGAATGATGCTGCACACTAGTGGTGCCCCCAGGGATCAGTGTAGGGCCCAGTCATGTTTAATGTCTTTATTGATGATCTGTCTGAGGGGATTGAATCTACCATTAGCAAATTTGCAGACAATGCCAAGTTGTGTTGGGAGTATGGATCTGCTGGAGGACAGAAAGGCCCTGGAGAAGGACCTGACAGGCTGGATCAATGGACTGAGACCAACAGTCCAAGGTTGAGTAAGACCAAGTGTCAGTGACTTGGGTCACAACAACTCCATGAAGCGTTCCAGGCTGGGGCAGAGGGTCTGGAAAGTAGGAAAGGACCTGGGGGTTTTGTTTGACAGTGGCTGGACATGAGCCCAGGTTTGCCCAGGTGGGCAAGAAGGCAAATGGCACCTGGCCTGTGTCAGCAATAGCGTGGCCACAGGACCAGGGCAGCGACTGTCCCCTGTGCTGGGCATGGGTGAGGCCACCATGTACTGTGCCTGGTTCTGGGCTCCTCAGTTTGGGAAGGACATTGAGGGGCTGGAGTGTGTCCAGAGAAGGGAACAGAGCTGGGAAGGGTCTGGAGAACCAGGAGAAGCTGAGGGAGCTGGGAAGGGGCTGGGGATTCCTGAGGGAGCTGGGAAGGGGCTGGAGAGTTCCTGAGGGAGCTGGGAAGGGGCTGGAGAGTTCCTGAGG